CTAGAATACGTAGTACTAGTTACTATACTTAACTTAAACGTTTAACTTATTATTTAGTTAGTATACTAGTACTACTACTTACTATACTTCTATATATATATATATATATATATATATATATATATATATATATATATAAACAACATGTGATAGGAGACTGAGCTAGAGGCATCTCAAGGTTGCTGCTGCTTTTTGCCAGAGAATCAATATATTGCCTTTATAAAGCTTTTTTTGATATACTCAGGGTTTTGTACAGGGCACCCGTTTGTGGGTCGCCTACTTTTTGGGCTTAACCCTCTTCATACTTTCTCTGTACTCGTTTTAAGCTTAATACAGTAAACATATTAAAAAAAGAAAAACAATTTTAACACGGATTTCAACTTGTTTGTCAAAAGACAAACAATTGCTTGATCGTGATTCGATGGCTAGAGTGGGTTGATAACAATGCCATCTATCGGTCATACTTGGCATGACATTGTTGCTTATTCATAGCCGTTCAATCAATGATCACATGGCTGTGGATATCATAACGCTATAAAATGTGATGTGGAAACATAAGAAGATTTCCCTGTAATTATATAGGTCAGTGGAATTGTAAGGACAAGGAAGATAAACCAAAAGCATTCCCACCGATTTCCACATGTTCATGGGGAAAAATACATCACTACAGCTATTAAACTACAGGACACAACAATCAAAATTGCCCCCCTCTCATACAGCTCCCCATTGTTTTATGTCAGGCCCATGATAACTCTTTAAATGTAATAAGACAGGTTGAGTTCCCAAATGGATGGTCCTGATTTTCCTGACATAATGCCATCTCATTTAAACTCGGTTAAGCATATTAAAAGCCTGATACATACAATACACAGCACAAAGCAAATGACTGCTTGAATTTGATTCTTATGCAATGATTATTTAATCTGCATATTGCGCTTTGCGAATAGCTCATTTTTGTGCCTTCAAATTGAATTTTGTAATTTCATGATGAAAGAAAAGGTGACAACGTTGTTGAGCACAGTTTAGCGAACAAACCATCATCAGTGACCTGAGCTCACCATCCACCTTGCTTGATATCAGATGTCGCCTCCATAAGTTTCTTCTTTATCATACTCCAACTCTTTTGGCTGTTTTCACCCCATTGAATTGATGCACTTCGCTTGAGCAATTCAGAAATCACAGGTGATTTAAATGGTGACATCGATTCATTTCCAACGTGTTCCACTTCATAATCTGCAAGAATGTATTGATTGGGTCATTTGATACCGATATAGATTTTAGGGGCATGTTTGTTTTGGTGGAACTTTTGTGTAGGGGAGTCTTAAGTTCCACAATAAGGTCTCCCACATTTGTTACAATGCTCACGGAAGCTGCAAGCTGTAACGAGAGTGTAATTTTTACACTATTTTCCAAGCGATTGGTGTGCCAGAGTAGTTAACAAAGGAACTACAGCCAACATTTGTTACAAATCTTCTCATTGAAAAACGTTGGTGGGGTAACTTCTTCAAGAGATTTCGAGAATTATGTCTTCCGAGAAAAACTGATACGGGAAAAAAATTAAGGAAAGAAGTCTATGAGAATAAGGAAAAAAATTCAGGGATAAGTGGGGAGTTTATGGAAGTGCTAACTGAATGTCCCACTTTCATGTTTGACAACAACTCAGTGGAAGCGGCAAAGTGGAAGTACGGCCTTCCAGGCAGCAAACTCCTTACTTTAAAAATGGCCCATTTTAGGAAGCCGCCTCAGGCTTCTTCCATATTTTGTGGGAGTGAGCGTCCACTCCCACAAACTACCACCATCAAACACACCCTCAGGTTTCTAAAAACTCAATTCTTTTTTCAGTAGGTAACTGGTAGAAAGAATGCAATCATATATTTTTCTTACAATTGTTGCAGACTTTTGGAAAACAAAAACAAACGATAGAATAAGGGGAAAGCAGTAAATCTCTAAACTAATCTCTTTCTTATACATTTTACTAATTATTATTATTATTATTTTGTACATGCATCATCGAATTATCATTATACATAATTGTACGTTGGTCTCTTGTTCTCCCTTTAACCTCCTCTAATTTTTTCTCCTGTTTAGTGTCCTAGATGTACTCAATACTTCATGGGTCTAGCAATAAGGATATGAGAACCCTTACTTTTTCCTACAAGTTTTATTCTTGTTGTTAACTTGTATATAGTTGTTTAACAATAGTTTTATATCTTAAAAAGGACAAAAAAAGGGGGGCAGGGCAAAATTCAACACAAAAAAACATTTAGATTTGTCCCTAGAGAACCCCACCAATGCTAGTTGATCATATCAAGAAATCCAGGTTAAGAAGTGTTGGGGAGAAGTAATGTGTATATTAAATATGGGAATATTGGATTATTTAATCAAGGTAATTGAAATCAGAAGGAGGGTTGAAATTTAGGAGTTCGGTATCACCTGAAGATTTTGGAAGCCCGAATTGCCGTTTCAAAAACTTGGAGGCCTGTTTGTCACTTTTGTGGCAGAGGACCCGGAGTAATGTATCCACATCCTCAGTAGATCGGGCTCCTTGCCTTCTATTGTAAACGCTAGAAGAGATTTGTTCACTAGCGAGCATCAACCTTTTGATAATGGTCTCTGTCTGAAAACAGCAAAACTCGAGAGAGTTAAGTTCTACTAGAGGAGAACAATTATGTACATTTCAAAACGTTTGTGAGATGATCAACCTGGAGGTTATACAGGTCTAAGATCTGGTGGGCTAATCTTGCTTCTCTCTCAACAACTGCTGGAGGAAGGCCTTCTCCATTTGCAACAAAAAATTCCTAGAAAGAACACAGGAAACATCACGCATGTCTTTGTAATGCTGTGATTGAAGTAGAGAAAGTAATCCTCTTGCCATAATTGATTTGCATACCTTCAATAGCTTAAGATCCTCTAGCATCATCTCAAAATCACTTGGTGAAAATGCACGGGAAGGGCCCCCATCAAGTAATACCCAAACATAACCATTCTTCAAGAGACAAGTATCAATAGAATAAGTATAGTAAATATGCAAGTGCTATGAACACACATGAGAGGGAGAGTACCAGTGATGCTCGAAAAATGCTGAGGACCACAGAATCTCTAAGGGGATCGACAATCAAGTCACATACGTTGTTAAGTACCTACACCAAATCCCTCTATGAGAACATGTCACGTACATCAATGTTGCTATCATGGAACAAATAGAGCCAATAAATGGATACTCCATTGGTTATCATGCAAATAACAAATAGCATGTGAATCACAAAGTTTTCAACCTCCTGATGCAGTAATAGAAACAATATTATTCCGTTACAAGGAAATCTTACAGTGTCAAGTTGCTGTAGAACATTTTCCATGCGTGCACTTGACACACTGCCTTGATATAAATAATTTATAAACGTTTCTCTCATGTCCCAAAATACAACCTTTGGTCCTAAGAAACACATTGAACATCAGTTGGGCTGCTTTGCATACTTTACAAATTTCAAACTTCATAACACAAGTTATACATAATAAAATCTAAGACAGGATTCAAAATCAAAGAACAATAAAGAGATATTGAAGTCCCCAACTTAGTAAATGATTCTATTTCATTTATTCATTATTTGAAGTTTTGAAAAATAACACTTAGCTCAGCCTGTTGTCAAAGGCATAACCAGTTGTCCAGGCAATAACAACCTCGCCGATGCTGGCACTTCGGATTCTAAGTGGGGAACTTGCTATGAAGAATTTAAAATAAAAATAAATTGCATAAACTCCAGCTTACCAATGAAGTCACAGATCTTCTCTGTTAATGCATTAGTAGTTTCTCTGATACTGTCAAAGGTAGCGAACAGCTCATCAACATCATCAGTACATGCAAATGATCCATCCTTTGAATCGCCCTGATGGTTCAGTTTACCTGTGATTGGAGGGATATGTTTAAAAAGGACTACAATAGCCATACAAAAACGTCATCAGCTAACTACAAAATTCTCAAGTAAATGACCACGTTGGATGAACATAATTTATAATATCAGCGATAGTTGCCTCATGGCATATGCCTCAGCTGAGGCACAAAGGTATTTCATGGCATCCATCTAAGTAACACGCGAAAGTTCAAAATGTTTCGCCAAGTCTACAGCCTCAGGGTTATTGCAGTAGACTTTAACTAACAGTATTTAATTTACTAGTTTACTATTTACCACTTAATGTCCGAAGCCAACGAGAGGATGAGGAGAAAATATTTGTTACTGAAAAAGGAGAAATTTGGAGAGCACTACTGGGTCACGATGGTATGAAGAAGATCACTGATTATGTTGACAGTGATGTGGGCCCAGATCAACATAGTAAATTTAGGGACAGTGAAGAGGGGAAGGAGCATAAGTATATTTGAACAATGCAGGAACTTCGTACTGTGGGAGGGAATAATGGCTGGTTCTTCCTGCATGTGATACATACTATTCTGAATCAGATATGTTTATTAATTTGAATGACATTTAAAACGCATCCAAACATTGCTTTACTAAAAATTAATTAAGACTCCACAAGTAAAGGGACCCCACCCTCCCCCCCAAAAAAAAAAGAAAAAAGAAGGGGAAAAAAATGTTCATGTGCAATTGCAACTTAAGGGCTGTACACAGTTCTCACAAATCCACCACAGTTATCAAATATATGTGGATGACTCGGGATTGGAGAGTGCTCAGACAAAAGGCATGCATGCTCATTCTGAATAGAAGTGGACTGGGGACCCTTCGCTCATGCGAGCGCTCCCTCCCTCCATCCCTCTCTCTCTTCCCTTTGTGTGTACATTGCAACGCATAGGCTGTATACCAGTTCTTACAAATCTATAACAGTTATCAAATATGAGGGGATGACTTGGGATTGGAGAGCTCTTAGACAAAAAGAATGCAGACGCGTTTTGAAATTAACTTGACTGTGGACCTGCATTCTTTCCGAGTATAGGCCATCAAAATTTTATCAATAAGAAAACCTCCTGTCCCCGAAGATCTAATTAGGAGTGACCATGGTGAAAGTACAAACATAATGTCAAAGAGTGGAAACAATTGATTAGTCTTCTATTCGATCCATGGCATGATTTTCCTTTCATGATTAGTGTAATCAACTTGAGGAATAACCACTCAAAAAGCAGGTATATTACCCAGCTGCTTTAGTTGATTTGTCAGTTTTAGCATACTGATTTTAGCAGTTTTGGTCAACAATTAGTTTCACATGATACATTCTACAATCCTAAAAATGAAAGGAATAGAAAAAGTATGTCATTCCAACCAGAAGATGAACCTTTTTCACTCATTGCAATAAAAAGTAGAGCGAACCATCAAAACGCCAATGCTTCAAACAAATCACTGTGCGTGTGTGTGCTGTCAACCATGTTGGAATTTCATTGATGTGATGGACTAGTATACTTTGGAACCAAAGAAGCATCTCTTGACCATAAACAAGAAGTTTGCTAGCAGAGCTTACTTGATTTCAGCGTACAACCAGGCCTGATGCAAGCCCAACATTTTTGCATAGCATCTTCTAGTGCATTGACTTGGACACCAATGTACTACACACATGAACAGAGAGAAGCATCTTAGCAAACATGAAGCAAGATCGAATTTCAAAGCCAAATAAAGCACTGTCAGAATAATCAACACTCAGGCATAACCCACTGAAAAAGATAAAACTCACTTGCAGTGTGTTAAGTCTAACACAGATCTTAGATGTGGCCAACACATTTAACTGATCTTCTACTTCCTCCTCGAGGAATTTGCACTCAATGACCTTTTTCTTGTTGAACGGCTTCATTGTGGGCTCTTTATAACGTGTTAAAGCAGGAGCAGGGGGGAACAAATGGTTCTTCTCAACTGAAAATACAAATTTATACAAGGAATTCAGTTCAGATGCATGGCATCAAAAGCGGAAACACTAAAACAATAAGGTATATGTCACATTCTACTTGAGATGCATGACCAAGGTACAAGCTAAGGTGAAGTACCGAGGTGACTGATGACCTGTTGCAAATAAGTTGCTAGGCCCCGAACAATGCCACCAAGTAAAGATTTCAAGTGAGCAGTCTCTAGTGGAAGCTTAAAGCCAAAAAATTGATCGACAGTCTGTGAAAGAAAAGACACTCTGTCATTTAACTTATATGATGATAAGAATATCAAAGGCAAACCACACAAGAGTTGCAAAGCAGGGAACCACTTACAATTCATGCAATAAGAAGAAAATTAAATTAAATTTTCCTACTTATAAAATCATATATAGATCTTTTGAAAGAAACATCACATGTATGTTAAGCGTGGGGAAGCTCTCTCGCATTTCAGTGAATAGGTAGAGAACCTCTGGGCACAGGTTCCTAAAGTTATATAGGCCCCTTCACAGCAAAAATTCAAAATGCATGGAACTGCACTCTTGCACCAAACAAATACTATGCTGATAGTAATAAATATTTTTCAAATCAGGAGATGCAATCATGTATAGTTTAATTAGCAATCAACCTCTAAAAGTAAGAGGATGGTGTAAAAGCATGCAAAATCAATATAAATAACAAATAAACGAATATAATCCGAATAAGTGACATTCCAAACTAGAGTAAAACATCTATATATCATTTCAGCACGTTTCATAAAGAGAATCTATATCATTTCAGCAGTGTTACGAAATGAACATCAAGAATTTCTCAGTTGATAATTTGCCATTTCCCGCACCATCAAGAGAGAGAGAGACTAATTGCGAGATTATCATTCAAAGTAAAGTTCATAATGGAGAACCATGCAGGCCAACATTATTGTTCACAACCATACCAATGAGGTACTAATCTAAGGCTACTCTATGATGGAAACAGTAAAGCATATTTGTTTTACAAGCATTTCACAACGAGACAGGTAAAAGGACTTCGAAAAAATCCAAGAAAGAATACCTCCTCTATAATCCTGAAAACTTCAACAATTGATGCTGCTTGTCTTTGCTGAGATGACAAAGGCTCCCAGTCCTGCATAAAATGTGCACCAAAGTGCTATGACCACTTGTATATCTTAGCACAAGTTACTTTACACCGAAGGCGCAGCAGTGGCAAATTTATGAAACGTTAATAACATACAGTTACCTGCAATAGAAGAACAAAACCTTAGAATAAGAAAGTTATTTACCATTCAAAAAAAAATAGCATTAAAATTTCAACAGATTTGGACTTTTGCCATCCTAATAAGGCTACAAGGTGGGATTCTACTAGTACACCAGAGTCTACAGTAGAGCACAATGTAGACACACAAGCAGATCACAGAATAGGTGTAAAGATTTAGCTTGTGCTCATTTTAACCTGCTTTTAGCTCAAGTTTTATGACTTCAGTTTCTACAGATCCACTCGGGAACCTTGCTATCCTTGAATTTAAGATGAATGATTTGAATGTTTGGTTTACTAAATGATTCTTAATGTGCTTTTGGAGGCCATGGATCTTGATTTGCTTTTAGTTCCTTAGCACAATTCCATAGATGGTAATTTTAAGGATCTGAGCAAATAAATGTTACAAAGAACAACTCCAGGAGCACAAAACAAATAAGATATACAGCTTCCAAGTCCCAGGGAACAAATGGAGCAGTCAATATGATTAACCTTGAACTAGAGACTAACCTAGCACAAACTAGAAACTTCTTCTGTATGAATAAAAATACTAAATAATTAGTCAGAGATGCTACAGAATCTAAAGAGCCATAGCAGAGGTCCGGATAACTTAGTTGTGCTCAAGATAGTCATAGACCCAAGTAGCCCCTCTTGATAATGCATAGGAAAACCCTCAAATCAAGAAGAAAAATACTTCCAAACATGGAAAAAGCAAACCCTAAAATTTCCTCTTACCATAAAAGCTGACTTGCATTTCTATTTATAGATTGGAGAAGGAATTTTTCTATCCCATCAAACGTCATCTTCTGAACTCATCCTAACCCACCCAAGATATCAAGCTTAACAAAACCTGGACTACATAGATTACCAAATAACCAAACCTAATCCTCAAGCTTCCTAATACAAACACACTGTCCAATAGGAATCAAGCTTAACTTCTAACATTCATGGCATAGTTTATTAAACTGTAAAAAATATAGAAAACAAATCTCAACCACCCCAGCTACCAAGTTTATGTGATTGTATTCCTCTCAATTGTGAAACATGTCAACATATTTTTTCAGTATCGGCATCTACAATCACAGTTCAAAGTTACCTCTCGAAGTCTATTTTGAAATCCTGAAAATTCTCATAATTATACTTATCAATAAGAACAATGTGACTCTTTCAGAATATTTATAGATAGGAAATCCCATACGAATGTCAATAACTTGGAAGCAATAGCTCTTGTAGTAAACAATAAAAGCTCAAAATGGTACTTGATACCTGTCATTTCTCTTGGTTTGGCAACTAACCTCAAGATGACAAGAGCGTTCAATCCACTCCAACATTTTATCATGCTGGGAATCCACCCAACTTAGAATAAGAGGCCCAGAAATTTCTCCGACCTACATTATATTAGGGAACAAATTATCACCATTTTCCTGGCATTCAACGATTCTAGAGATGAAACAGCAGATAAACACCGAAAGACATGCATAAAGTGAGCACATGCATAAAGTGCGCACATCATCATATCTGGGTTTGCTACTCAAAGCTCTTCAGCTATTTCAGTATGCAGAACCAACAACTAGACCAATGGAGAACAGGAATGATGAGGTACACTAAAAGAGATCCTGTGCGTGCAGTTAATAATCTTCTTGTGATAGCAGTTCACTTATTTTCTCTCATTAACAACTCATGGAACAATGCAACAGTAATATTTATGGGCACGGTGGGCACAGCCAAAAATACGGGGTATGAGTGAAGCACTTGCATTCAGATCAGTATCCTTGGAAAGAATCTAAATAATTTTCAACACATGTAAAATGAAGAAGCAATACCTCATAGCAGTTCTTTTTTGTTCTTTTATGGACACATAACATATAAGGAATAATAAAAACATGAGCCCCTACTCCGATTAAAAACAGACCAATGGTATGAACCTGCAAGTGCATGCAACAGGGATCCGCATGGAAACATGTACCAACAAGCATGCTACTATTAGTAGAATGAAATGTCGTATGTGGCAGTGGTATGGACCCTAAATCTACAATTGTATGCCAGGGAACAACTTTGTTTCCTGCTAGGCATCGAGGGAACTAAGAAGATATTGTCGAAAAGAGTCAAGAAAGGGCAAGCCTCATGATACAAGCTTGAATCTCATAGATACAAATATATATGAATCATAGTTGTTGGAAGTGGGAGTGGGATGGGGTGGAAGTGAACAAGTCATGGTGGAAGTCCTGCTCAGTTCACTACAGCCTGGCAGTAAGAGCTGCCACCAGATCTTAGGGTTCAGTTTGTCAGTCGATGAAAGAAGGCGGGTGCTGAATGTAGGGCAAGGCAAGCGGTCATTGATTTACTGATTAACGAGATGGCATTCCCTCCGTTGAGCGATCGTCGTTAGGTAAATCAAAAACATGATCAATGGGCCTTCAAGATGCAAGTGCAGGTGTGGGAGCAAGGGATCATCGGTAGGAAGAAGCTACCTAAGTTTGGAAGCTCATAGAAGTGCTCCTACAATAAATATATAAAAATATGAAAATCAAAAAACGTAACAAAGTTGTTACAAATTATATTTAGACACATAATAAACATATAAGGAATAAGGTGTGGTTCATGTAAGGCATTCACCTTAAACAATCAAATAAGGAATAAGGTGAACCTAAAGACCTTGCTGGGATGCAATTCCGGTGCTGAAAACTTTTACAATAGCCTGAAAATATGTTCTCACCTCTAATTATACTTATATATATATATATATATATATATAGGAATATACTACAAACGCCTATAGGAGAAAATGAACAGTGATTTCGCCTACCATCATCACCATCCAAAGTTCTTCGCACGGTCACGATTGTCCGGTAGTGTTTCATTTTTCATTTTTTTTTCTACAAAATCGGAATGACCAGAAATTTGGATCGTGTGTTCATCAAAAATAGGTGAATCTACGAAAAATATTAAAAAAATATTTTACATGAAAAAAATTGACCAAAATACCCCCAAAAACATTTTGGGATATCTTGGTCAAAACAATTTTCACGAATTATTTTTTTTATATTTTATTAGGTGCGCCTCACTAAGATGTACACACGCTTCAAATTTCAAATCATTCCGATTTGTAGAAAAAAAAATAAAAAATAAAACACTACCGGACAATTGTGACCGTACGATGAACTTTGGATGATGATAAACGTAGGCGAAATCACTGTTCATTTTCGCCCATAGGCATTGGGAAGACTCTTCCATATATATATATATAAGAAGCCACTACGCAACGCCTATGGGCGAAAATGAACAGTGTTTTCGCCCATAGGCTCGGCACCATCCGATTTTTTCGGACAGCGTGGATTAAAAGACCGTCACGTACATAGCATGTCCATGGCGCTATTTTTTCACACAAAAAAACATGGGCAACAGCCACGACTCCCGTAGATCCATGGCGGTTTTTAAGGCAAAACCGCCATAGACATAGTATATCCGTAGCAGGGCAAAACACTAATCAATTTCGCCTATAAGAATTTTTAAGAGTTTTCCTATATATATATATATATACATATATATATATATATATATATATAGAAAGAGAAAAGAATAGATAGAGGAAGAGAGATGAATTTTCATCCAAAGTTGCTAAACTTCAACCCGTCATCCTTTCTTTAATGCAATTATCAAACCATTGCAGTTATGAATCCCTTCTTTTTTTTTAAATTGATCTCGCTATAAGCACATTCACCCCCTTAAAAAAATATACTTCACCGGAGTTTTAATAATTCTATGGGAAAATGACATGTACCGCACTTTTTAATTGTAATCCACAAAAGCGTTAGGTCCTTAGAAAGCTCATAGACACACTCCAAGTTTTTTTTTTTTAAAAAAAGACGTTTAACCCCCTCCTCACCTTTTTCATTGTTTAAACTACAATATTTATCCTTTTCTTTTTCCTAATGACCCATCATCCAAACCTCGAAAAGATCCCCCGGCCCTCTCTCTATTTCTTCATCATCCGCGAACTCTTTCCCCCTCTCTCTCTCTCCTCTCTCACTCTACTCTCTCTCTCTCTC